ATTGCATAGACTCATTGACCATTGATTGACTTGATTTGATTGACCTGCATATTGATAGCATCGCCGTACTTTGATTTCAGTTGTAGGCTTTGGTGACCTGCTGGGCTTTGTAAGCTCATTATATGTGGTTAAAATTTTCAGGTCCGAGCAAGGGAGCAGGAATGGAGATTGATCAAGACTGTCGACGAATCCTTTCACTATTGATATCTGGGGCATCACAGTGCAATTGCCTAAAAACTCTTATAATAAAGAGTAAAAAAAGGATGGAGGGGAACAAATTAACTAAATATCCATGCAATAAATAATTTTTTAACTTTTTAGGGGGGCTAGGTAGTTCCGCCCCTGTATATATGTAAATGCATGATCTAACTTCTTTTTTTTTTTTAAACTAACTTTAAAAAATATACAATTTAACATAATTTATTATAACAAAATATTAATTTATGTTTGAGATTACATATAATGTGATTTATATATTTTTCATTCCACATAGACCATTAAAATAACTTAACATTTCATAGACGTAATCATTCTTCATTATATTGTTATCAGCTTATATGACATGATGTGTAACAACCCTTGCTATAGTGTTGAGTTTACTTGTAATGATTCAAATAATATTTATAGTAAGATTTATAAGTTTATTATATATTTATTAAATCTATGTGAGTCATCTCAAGTTATTTCATTCTAAAACTAGCTTAATTGTATAAAGTTGTAAATTGACTTTAGAAGATTAAGAACTAAGTCTAAGAAAATTTTCTTTGGAGCCCTGTGGCATTTGGGAAATTGATGTTGTGGCGCTAAGTTATCTATCTTTAGTATTAAAAAATCTACTTTAAGAGCATTGCGGTGTTCTGCCATTGAGCTCTCTATCAAACTCAGGATCAACCTAGAGCATTGTGACGCTGTAAAGTGTAGTGTCGCAGCACTACATGAAAATTATGCAATATTAAGGCATATGTTCATTAGAAACTTTTAGAATTAAAATTTTCTTTTGGAGCGTTGTGGCTCTGTGAATATACTAGCTTTGTGGCCCTAGATCAATTTCATAGTTTTTTATATAAATATCTCAAAGCATTAAAATAAAAGTATTTTTCATTTCCTAAGTCAAGAGAGAAGTTGGGAGAATGGAGAAGAGAAAAAGAAGAGGGAAAGAGAAGAAGCTTGAGTTTGGGTGTTGTGGAGCTGGATTCATCCATGCATTGGGTCAGTTGAGAGAATTGATGAGTGTGTGAGTAAATTTTTTGGGTTATATTTGATTTGGGCCAATATAAATGAGGTTTTACAAAGATATAGAAAGTTTACACAATCTAATTTTTTGTATGTTGTAGAATGAAATATTTTGATTGTATTTACTGAAAAATATATAATTTTTTATTAGGTGGTTGGGTTTGTACAATTTCTCAGGTAAATTCATAAGTATGTTATCATTTTTGGTAATTGATACAATTTGATATATGCTTCAAAATAATGATGTGAATGTCCCTTATAAATTGTATTCTACCACTATGTGTGAAAGTCTTACCTATGGGTACTATTGAAAAAGTTGTATATGTGTTACTTTTATGTATTCATGTATTAATATTAAATGTAAAATAATAATAATAATAATAAGTATTAATATTAAATGTGGCTCATAGATGTTAAAATGTTGATATTGCCATGCCCTAGTGATGAATTTCATGTATTCAATTATCATGTGAATGGTGGATTGTATAAGTTGAAAATATTAAAGTTATGGAGTTCATGTAATCAAGTACCCTATTAAATGTAATTTATACATATGAAATTTATTAAAATGTTAGAACTATCATGT